AGTTCAAGGCCAGCCTGCTCTACATAGTGAGTTCCAGGACAGCTGGGGCTACAGGGAGACCATCTCAAAAAGACCAAAAAATATTGTGTCTGTTATTTTTATTTTTATGTATATGTGTGTATTGCCTGCATGTAGGTAAGTGCACCCGTGTCGTGCAATGCCCGTGGAAGTCAGAAGAGGCTGTCAGATCCCCTGGGACTGGAGTTACTGACAGTTGTTAGCTGTCATGTGGGTGCTAGGAGTCGAACCTGGGTCTTCCACAAGAACAACCAGTGTACTTAACTGCTGAGCCATCTCTTGTCTTTAATTTTGAATTTAATATATTTGATATATTAAAACAAATATTTTTGATTGGTACTCAATCTTTGAAATACAATAAAATGCATAGTATGAACCCACCACCCAAAGCAAGAGCTGGAATGTTACCGTGCTTTACATACCCAGCTTGGTTCCCATACCATGAATTTGGCCCCAGAAGATAGGAGAGTGTCTCTTGGGCCTGGAGAGATGGCAGAGATGGTGGTCAGTAAAATGCTTGCTGTTCAAGCATGAGGACTGAAGTTCAGACCCCTAAGACTCACATAAAAAGCTGAACATGACAGTCGTGCATGTACCTATAATTCCAGCACTAGGGAGACAGAGACAGGAGGATCCCTGGTTCTCACTGGCCAGCTACTATAGTTGAGTTGGTGAGCCCCAGATTATTAAAAAATAAGATGGAGGGGACTGGAGAGATGGCTCAGAGATTAAAAGTACTGGCTGCTGTTGCAGAGGATCCGGGTTTGATCCCCAGCACCCACATGGCAGCTAACAACCAATCTTAACTCCATTTCCAAGGGATCTGACACCCTCCCCTGACCTCCTTGGGCATTGCATGACATGGGTGCACTTACACACATGGAGGCAATATACTCATACATGTCAAATAGAAATAAATAAATTAAAAAATATTTTAAGAAATAAAGTAGAGAGGACTGGAGAGATGACTTTGACTCATTGATTCATCCAATACGAATCAGAGTACCTACTATATGCAGGACTCCATGCTTGGCACCATAGGGGGAAGGGAGATGGCAAGATGCTCCCTGGCCACAGACAGAGGACCAAACATTCTCACTGCTGGGGCATCACTAGCTGGTGTATGTTATATTTCTGCTGCTGACTTTGTAACTGTCTTAGAAAAACTGAGTTGTGTCCCAGTGCTTTCATTTTTGTTTTATTGGTCCACCCCTTTGAGAAAAATATCTATTCTGTCACTTCACTGGAATGCCAAAAATATTAATTAGCCACATCAGTCAAGAGCCCTGAGGGCCTGGGAGGAAATGGCATGATAAGAGTATTTCAGGATGTGGTTGCTTTGGAGGGTGCATTTCTGAGTTCACCAGGGGAAACTGGGATGTGGAACATGGGGCTGTGCACGCTTCACACAAAGCTGCCAAGAGTGTGGGGAGGGCAGAATGGACTAGAAGTGCAGCGTGGAGCTGTACAGCACATCTCTCCTGAGTGAGTAAATGTGACTCACAGAGAAAGTCATAGTTTCCAATTGCAGAAGAAAATAAAACGTAAGGGAAATATTATGAAGCAGTAAATTCATATCAATATGACACTGTCTGGAATCAAGTGGCCTTTTCTTCATCAATGTCTAGAGCACATTTATTTCCCCAGCATGTGTAATTGACGTAGTTCTGCATGTCTGTAGAGCCATGTCCTCACTCCCCTTGTACTGGGCCTTCCAATGGACCTAGAACTGGATCCCCACAGGTGTGGCTAAGCTTTTCCTAGCATGACAGCTCCCTTCAGAATGTATTCTTCCATATTGAATGGGCATAAATTTTTCTGGAGCCATTAAATACTGGGTTCGTGTTTGTTTATTTGAGATAATGTCTCAGTCTGTAGCTCAGGTTAACCTGGAATTTATCATGTAACCCAGGCTAGTCAGCCTCCCAGGCTTATGTTGGGGTTTTATGTATCACATAGCACACAGCCTCATGAGCAGTGGACTGCCATACATCAAG